TACAGCTGTGGAAGAAATTCTGCTCCTACTACCCATTCCTCATTCTAGAGCCTGGCGTGGTCCAAAATGGAAGGAGGGAAATGAATGAAATCCATTCACTGTTAGACTCGAAAGCTCTTTCTACTCTAGAACCTAATTTTAATTTTTTTTAGAAACCTAGGAGTATGGCTGGTAGGAATAAATGAGGCAGGTAGTAGGTCAGACTTGGCTTCTACCAGAAGGAAATGGATGTATAGAAAGTGTATTAAAAAAAGCATAGGGATGCCTGAATTTTCTAGTGTGTTGGCTAAGCTGGGCTGCTCTTTTTGTAGGTAGTGAGGTGCCAGGACAGCTGCTGTATAACTCTGGGCACTCCAGCTGTTTGAAATGTGACTATAAAAAGATGGTATATAGGAGATCACCATCAGATCTGATGATATTTCTCAACCATAGATAAACAGTCATGATTTTGTGGGACTTAATCCTGAGGTTTGGGGTGGTTTATCTTAGGATTTGTTGGTTTTCAGTTGTGTCCGACTCTTTGACCTCCATTTGTGTGTTGTTTTTTGTTTGTTTTTTGGCAAAGAGACTGGAGTGGTTTGTCATTTCCTTCTCCAGTTCATTTTACAGATGAAGAAACTGAGGCAAATGGGATAAAGTGACTTGCCCAGGGTCACACAACTAGTTAAGTGTCTGAGACTGGGTTTGAACTCACAAAGATGAGCCTTCTTGATTCCAGGCCTGGTGCTCTATCTACTGCACCATCTGGCTGTCCATCTTAGGCTTTAGTCTTTATTTAAAAGAAGGTTTTATTAATTCTTTTTGTCTTTGACAGTATTGATTACCTAACCTGTCTTTCCCTTCCCATTGATACTGCCCTTGTAACAGAGAAAAACAGTTGAGCAAAAGTTCCCCCAAAAGACAGTGTATGCAGTATTTGACACCTGTGGTCCCTCACTGCTCTACAAAGAAGGGGCAGATTTGCTTCATCATCTGTTCTTCAGGAGATGTGTAATTGCAAGGGCCCTGTAGTCTTGTTTTCATTTATTTAATAATTGTTTATCTTCTCCTCCTGCTCATTCTGTGCCAGGTGATACAAATCTTCCCATGTTTCCCTGAATTCTTCATCTTGGTCATTCTGTATTGTGTAATAGCATTCCTGTGTCATAATTTGTTTAGCCACTCCGTGATCAATGGGCACCCTCTGTGTTCCTGGCGAGTTGTGAGTTTATTCTTGTGTAACCTTAAAGGTCTGGTCTTTAGAGGCAGCTCATAACCCATTGGACAAATTGTTGAGCCTGGAGTTGGGAAGACCTGAGTTCAAATCCAGTCTCAGTTTCTTCCTAGTTGTATGACTCTGGGCAAGTCATTTAACCTCTGTCTGTCTCCATTTCCTCAGCTGTCAAATGGGAACAGTAACAGCACCTGCCTCCCAGGGTTGCTGTTAAGATCCAGTGAGTTGCTATTTATAAAGTACTTATCTGCCTGGCACACAGTAGGTGTTTAAGTCTTTAACATCCTGTTATAGTGACAGCCTTTAAAAAACCAAACCTTCCCACAAATAAAACCCATAAATAAGTTGATGTTGCAAACGTTGGGGTGTTCCTCCTCCACAGCAAGAAAACCTTGGTTTAAGGTTGAGCCAAAGGTTAAAAGACTGCAATGTGAAATGATAGGACTTTTATCATTCACGTGGCCTGGAGCCAGGGGGAAATGATAAAACAGAGTTTCTCTGCTCATTTCCTTGCATATCCCTGGAATGAGAATTCCCGTCTGTCTAATAAGGGTCCCGGCACACATAAAGCAGCTCCAGGAAGTGACCCCGTCCGCTGTGGGTCTGCCAAAGACATTTGGGTCTGGAGAAAAGAAAGGTGTGCTGTGGAGAAATAATCCATCACTTTTAGTCATTCTGTGCTCTACGTTTTCCACTACCAGCAATGTATCCGAAGGCCAAAAGATGTTTTGACTTTGGAAAAACTAATAAGGTTAAAAGGCAATGAAAATCATAGCATTTTAGTTACAGAGGTTCCTTAGATCCCACCAAGGTCATTCTCCTTGTTTTACAGAAGATATGATGGCTAAGCGATCAATCCAAAGTAAGTCCAGTCAGCAAGCGTTTATGAAACACCTACTGCGTGTTGAGCACTGTGCTAAACTGTGGAGTTACAATGAAAGCAAAAAGTAGTGCCTGTTCCTAAAGAGCTCATGGTCTAATGAGGAAGACAGCATGCAGACCACTGGGTGCAAATGAGGCATGCACCGGGTCAGCTGGAGGTAACTGAGAGAGGGCAGGGTCCAGCAGTAAGAGTGATGGGTAGAGACTTCTCATAGAAGGTGGGATTTGGGCTGGGACTTGAAGGAAGGCAGGGAAGCTGTTGTAAGAGGCAAGGTGTCAGAGCGTGGGAAAGGCAGGAGGAGGCTGGGTTGTAAAGGAGTTTGAGGTTCCAATGGAGGATTTTGTTTTTGATCCCGGAGGCGATAGGGAGCCATTGGAGTTTACTGAATGGGGGTGAGGGAAGAGACAGGAAGTCTAGACTAATAGCATTACTTACATTTCTGTACTGATTTAAGCCTTACAGAATGCTGTAATCCCAGCAGCTCTGTGTGGTGGAGTGTCCCCATTTTATGGAAGAGGAGGAAGGACCGACAATGGGTTGTAGTCTTAAGGACTAGTGTAACTAAGTATTGAGAAGCAAGTATGGTAGAATGGACAACAGACTTGGGTGTGTGACCTTGGACTTGACCTCTTCATCAAGACTTGGCCTCTGAGATGGCTTCTTAGCTGAGAACATTACCTCTTGCCAGATTCCCTCTTCTCCCCTTCTCTTAATATCTATTCCCGCCTTCTTCTCCTTCGCTCCAGTGTCTGATGAAGAAGCGGCCCTCCTCTTTGCCAAAGTAAATCTCTCTACGTGCCCCCTTGATTCCATCCCCTTCTTCTCTGGCGAATTGCCCCCACCATCATCACTTGTCTCTGTCTCCTCTTCAGGCTTTCCCTATCCCTTTGGCCCACAAACGTGCCCAAAACTCCATCCCTAAAAACCTCTTTCTAGGTCCTACCGTCTCCACTAGCTCTCATCATGTATTTCTTCATCAAAAGCCTTGAAAATACCATCTAAATTTGGTGCCCCCTCCCACTCTTTTCTGAACTCTCTGTGATTGGGCCTCTGGCCTCATCAGTCAGTTGAAACTACTGTCTTCAAAGTCACCAAAGATCTTGTAATTACCAAATCGGATGGCTGTTTCTGAGTTCCCATTCTTATTGACCTTCTACAATATTTGACATTGCTGACACCCACTTTGCTTAGACACTGCCAGATTATTTCTCCATTTCTTTTTCTGGATCTTCCTCCAGGTCATGCTCAACAACTCGGTGTCCCCTAGGGCTCTGTCCTGGGTCCTCTTCTCTTCTCCTATGCTTTCTCACTTGGTGATCTTAGCAGCTCCCATGGCTCCAATTATTTTTATGAAGATAATTGCCAGATCTATATATCCAACCATAGTCTCTCCTAAGCTCCAGGCCTGTATCACCAACTGCCTATTAGACATCTTGAACTAGATGTCTTATAAGCATCTCAAATTCAACATGCCCCAAACACAAGTCATTATCTTTCACCTCAAACCCTCTACCCTTCCTTGACTTTCCTGTTACCATTGAAGGGACCACCATCCTTCCAGTACCTAACTTCTGGTACTGGAAGTTAATGGAAGCTAATGATTTCATGAGAAATCAAGGAATTGTAAAACAAAACCGAAAGAATGAAAAAATAGAAGACAGTGTGAAATATCTCACTGGAAAAACAACTGACCTGGAAAATAGATCTAGGAGAGAGAATTTAAAAATTGTTGGACTACCTGAAAGCCGTGATCCAAAAAAAAGAGCCTAGACATCATCTTTTCTTCATTCTCACCCCACCTACTCAATCAGTTGCCATATGTTGTTTTTGCCTCCACAGCCATCTCTCACAGACTCCTGTTTCTCTCCATGCATTCTCCATGCACCTCCCTAGTAGAGACCCTCATTATTTCTTGTCTGAACTATTAGAATAACTTCTTAATTGGTTTCACTGACTCCAGTCTCTCCCCACTCCAATCCATCTCTTTGGCATATAGGCCAGGGAGTGGTATCTCTAGGTCGTAGGATATATAGTTCAGGGACATTGGGGACGTGATTCCAAATTGCTTTCCAGAATTGCTAGACCAGCTCACATCTCTACCAACAGTGTATTAGTGTGCCGGTTTTTCCTGTATTCCCTTCAGTAATGATGGTGTTAGCTAGCACTTGTGTGGTGTTTGAAAGTCTACAATGCAACATATACATATATATCTATATATACACACACACACACATACAGACATATGTATATATATAAATACATACAATATATACACGTACAAATCTCATTTGATGCTCACAACAAACCAGAGAGAATGCTGCCTTTTTCCATCTCTGATTGGAATCCTGGGTTTCCTTCAAGACTCAAACCGGGTCCCCTTCCTAAGGAGGCCTTTCTGTGTCCCTCCTGCCTACCAGCTTTTCCTCCACATAGGGCCTTCCCCTACGCATCCCCTCGTATATGCTGCATATATATCTTATGTATTATGCATATGTGGGTAGGTCCCCATTAAATGTAAGCTTCTTGAGGGCAGAGAAGGTTTGACTTTTGTCTTTAGGTCTCTGGGGCTTGGCATATCCTCTCACATAGTAAACAGTTAATATAAGTGACTGCTGATGGAGTGATTCTTCGTTGGGTATTTTTTCGGCTCTCACGCATGACTCCCGAGAGAGTTGGGGAAATGAGATTTTAAATCCCATTTCCTGCTTTGGCAGAGACTTTATACGTTTCCATATTCTTCCTTCCTGGCCAGTAATGGATTATGACTGGGGGAAAATGTCCAGCAAGATTATTACAATTAACATTTTACTTACTTGTTTCAGAAAGGATGAAAATCTTTCCCCCTACTTTTGGATGTAGATGTGTTATTTGCGTAGGCACTGACTTTTTATTTTTTAAACTTAGCTCTTCAGGTGCCGGAAATGTAGCAGACCGTGTTCTGGCCCAGCTCTTAACAGAAATGGATGGGATTGAACAGCTCAAAGATGTGATTATTTTAGCAGCTACCAATCGCCCAGATAAGATTGACAAGGTAGGAAAGACTGGGCTGGGGCATCTGCCCAGGGCTCCAGGAATTGGGGTCGGTCTTTTTCACCCAAATGATTTCTCATTTGCTTTTTCATTTAAAGACTGAAGATGAGAGAGGGGGAAAATCTGCTTGTTTTGGTCAGACAGTGTATGTGATTTAATATTGATGAAAGGGTTTGCCAGCAACTATGAGTTTCTCTAAATCTTTTTTATTTCAAGTTAACTCTTCATTTGTTGCTGCCAGTTTCTTTTTTTTCCTTTTGTTTTCCTGCAACCTGTTGTAATGCAATGACCCATCTGTTCCCTGGATTTTGTGCTTCACCTGATTTATTTATTTTGACAGAAAGGGAGAATTGTATAGTAACCAGAATGCTGAGCTTGGAGTCAGCAAGACCTGCGTTCCAATACCACTTTGGACAGTAAGCTAGGTGGTACAGTGGTTTGAGCCCCGGGCCTGGAGTCAGGCAGACCAGAGTTCAATCCAGGCCTCAGACTCTTACCAACTGGATGACTCTGAACAAATCGCTAAACCTCTGTCTGTCTCAGTTTCTTCATCTGTTAAATGGGGATAATAATAGCCCATATCCCTCTGGGTTGTTGTAAAGCTCAAATGAGACAATATTTATACTTTGCAAACCTTAAAGCACTATATCAGTGCTAGCTGTCATTAGTATTAATGCTATTATTATCACTATACGTATTAGCTAGCTCTGTGACCCTGGGCAAGTCATTTCCCTTTTATACACCTAACGTAGCGCCCTACGATTTAGCTACTGAATCATAGACAGGTTGCAATCTGTGTCAGCAGAAGCTTCTCCACATAGATACGCCCGCCTCTCCAACATGTCCTTGTTGAGTATCTCATCTTTTCTATTCAAGTAATTGTCTAGTAGAACATTAGCTTTTGGCCTTCCAAAGATATTGATGGTGATGATGATGATGATGAAGATGATGAAGATGATAATGATGATGGTGAAGCTGGCATTTAAAATTTGCAACATTTTCCATGTTATCCCATTTAGTCTTTGCATTAGCCCTGTGGGGTGGGTGCTGTGAGGAAGGTGAGGGGTTAAGTGGTTTGCCCTGAGTCACACAGCTAGCCAGTGCCTATAGGCGAATTCAGACTCAGGTCTTCCCGTCCCCAAGGCCGGTGTTCTATTCACTGCAGCACCTGGTTACCCTCTTTCTGTTAACTGCTCCCAAGAAAGGAGATTCTGAGGTCAGGCGGCACCTTACCTCATTCTGTCTTGCTTCCTGCCCCAGGCTTCCCTTTCCATTAGGGTGCTGGAGAAGGGTTGCTGAAGGTCCAGACTTACCGTCCGTAGGTTTTACTATTATTGCTTTTCCCTCATTCCTTCTGTGTTTGGCTTCCCAGGCTGAGGCTCATGGGATCACTCCCCTCACAGCGTTGCTTCTTTAGGGCATTCGCTGACTTGTATCGGATTTCACTTTATAAAGCTTTTGGCCTTGCTGTTTTTTGTCCTTTTTTTTTAAAGGAGAGCGTGAGATTTCGGGTTAGAGGTGCTCAGAACTTAGCACAGTGCCTTGTATACAGTGAGCACTTAATAAATGCTCATTGACTGGCTACTTTCAGTGTCAGCTGACTCTTTAGGCATCACTAGAGAGTCTTCGGGTGAATGGGGGGGTAAAGCGCGTCCCTGCTTGGCCTGACACAAACCCGTCATCACATTTGAGTGAGGGTGTCACGTGAGAATGGGAAGACTGGAGAGCTACCTGATGTTGGAGAAACTGGGGGTGTTTCCCCTAGAGAGGCAAAGACTTGGGAAGGCCTGGTAGCCACCCTACATGATGATTTCTGAGGCGTGTCCACCCAGACCCCACTGTCAGTGAAGTCATGTTTGTCTCTGTGCCCCTAGTTAAGGTGCAGCCACGTGGCCTAGTGGATGGAGCTCTGGACTTGGGAGTCGGCAGTCCTGGGTGGGAATGCTCTGATATTTACTTGGAACTGCCCCAAGGTGGAATATGTTGCGAGAGGCGAAGTCCAGTCTCCTTTCGTCAGAGTTCTTCAAGGGCAGACTGGAAGGTGCGGGCTGAGTTTGCTGTGGAGAGGTCTTGTTTACAGAGGCTGGGCTGCCCCACCCTGGGCTGTGGGGATTGGTATCTTCTGGCGTGGAGAGGTCTCCAGCCATTTCTCTTGCTCCAGCTCGCTGTCCGTTGCATCGGAGCTCATGCTAAGCCTGCCCTGCTTGGATTCCCCAGAACTAGTCTCATGGATTTGTGGTTGAGTCCTTGAGGTGGAGGCAGGGAGAACTGGTTCAGATCAGTTTCCTCATCCTTAAAATGGGTATAAAGTGCCTGTCTCATAAGGGTGTGACAAGGCTCAAATAAGGTAAGGTTTATAAAGGGATGGGGATAGCGACTAGAGCTGTGGTTTCGTTGGGGTCTCATAGAACTCCACCAGTGGAGGGTGACACCTTTTCTGCAACTTCTGGTCTTGGAGAATTGCCCTAAACACTTAGAGATTACGTTATTCATCCAAGATCCTGTAACCAGTGGATGTCAGAGTCACAGAGGGTCTCAGTGTCCTCATCTGTAAAATGGGGGAATTGGGCTCGTTGCTTTGTCAGCCCTCTCTAACTCTAGAGACACAGCCTGACGGTCTCTCTCACATGTGGCTTGTGGCCCCCTCCTCCATTTGATCCCGTCTGGAGATCGTTCTAGTTCTGGACCAGGCCTGAAGACGCCAGCAGTCCTTCAGCCAGCCCCGAGGCCTCTCCAGAGCAGGTCTAGAACCGTCCTAGATCTTTGACTCTTTTCTAAGAGCAATGGGAAGAGCGGGGTGAATGCCTCTGCCGTTGGGTGTCCGGGCCTCCCCGGAGCAGGTCTAGAACCGTCCTAGATCTTTGACTCTTTTCTAGGAGCAGTGGGAAGAGCGGGGTGAATGCCTCTGCCGTTGGGTGTCCGGGCCTCCCCGGAGCAGGTCTAGAACCGCCCTGGGTCTTTGACTCTTTTCTAGGAGCAGTGGGACAAGCGGGGTGAATGCCTCTGCCGTTGGGTGTCCGGGCCTCCCCGGAGCAGGTCTAGAACCGCCCTGGATCTTTGACTCTTTTCTAGAGCAATGGGACGAGCGGGGTGAATGTCTCTGCTGTTGGGTGTCCGGTTTCTGCCTCGTAGGTCAAGAGCGGAACATAACGCAGACCTTCTCTTGATAGTGAATGACACGTACCCATTTAAAATGAGGCCAAAAAAGGCTCTAAGGAAGCCTTCTAACCAGATCACCAATTAAAGGCACCTCTCTACTCACCACTGGATAGCAAAGCCAGATATTGTGTCACGATCAAAGGTGCCAGGCTGTGTGTCTGCCGCTACCTGGCCACAGGAGAGCCTTCCTTTGAGACCACGGCGGGCCGTTCCCACTTCCTGCCGCATCCAGCCTTCTGTGGTGTGCGCCATACTTAATGGTGGCTGCCCTCCACCTCACTGATTGCTGCCTCCTCAGTGAAGCAAGCGTCCCTGGCCTCTTGAGATTATTCTGTAGGTTTATTTGTCTTCGTATATGCTCCATCTCACTGGTAGAATGTAAGCCCTGTAAGGGCGGGCCCTGGTTTTCTTTTCCTCTCCATATCACCAGTCACCAGCGTGGCGCCTTTGACGCGTAGAGGCTTATGGGATGGGTGCTTGCAGAACTCCTGTGAGTTCATTCACAATTCGCAGATCATTCTGACTTTGTTTGGAGCTGCTCCTGCCTTCAGCTCCAGAGAGGCAGACGAGATCTGAGTGGGGGAGCATCTGCCTCTGGTTTTGGTCAGGATATGATTTGCCCAGAATCCAGGCCTCCTCTTTTGTCTTAACTCAGGTTAGCAATCATATACAGGGTCTTGGAGATTTATTTCCTTTCCAGGGGGTTTTGTTGTTTGCTTTTTTTTTTTCTCCATGTCAAAATGTCATGGGGACTTTTGTTACTTACCCGTAGTTACATGAAAACATCAATGCATGTAGACCAATGGATACCTGCTTGTGAAAACAAACCCCTTCAGAGACAATCCATTGAACTTCCTGTTTCCAAACCAGTTTTTACCATCTGGTTTGGCTGAGGAAATTTCGGTGGGGGGCAGGGGGAGAGAAGATTTCTATGTGGAAATGGAGACCAGCAGGGAACAGTGGAAAGGGATAGGTGCCGGCTTTTAGAGTCAGAGGACCCTGTCTTTGGACCCTGCCTCTCTCACTGTGTGACCTTTGGCCTCTGTTTCCTTCTCTGTTCAAATGAGGGGGTTGGAGAATATGACCCCTGAGTTTGCTTTCCAGCTCTGGGTATATGTAATCTCATGATCCCTTGACTTTGATATCCTGCGAGAAATCTGTCTTGGGCTCTGGTGCAGTCTGGAAGGTTAACTAAGAGGGTTTTCTTCTCCATTCCTTCCTACTCCCCTCCCCATGTCACCTCCTGCCCACACATACTCCCCCCACCCCTGGAAACCTTGAGCCTGGAAGCATGTGCCCAGCAAATATCCGGGGAATGAAGTGGCCATGGGCTGGCCCAGTCTCATCTCCCAGCTGCATTTCCATTTGGCTTGGCCCGAGGGGCCCGGTGGACCTTGGTGACTGTTCCAAGCCCAGGACTTGATACAGGGAGCTAAAGATTGAGGTTGTTTTACCTCATGCTGGTCTCATTTTGGAATGTCAAACACATTGACTCTGATGGGAAACACAAGACAGCTGGGGAGTGATGGCTTGGGGGGGTCGGGGGAGGCGGCCCGGGGCCTTGTCCTCCTCTTCCCCTTTGTCTCTCACATCCTGTCTGGAAGAAAAGTTGCATCCTCAAATGTCCTATTTGCATAAGAATGACAGGATGTATCAGACAAATGAAGATTAATGCGATTGTGTGATGTCAGACCGACCCATTGTCTGAAGATTGATGACAGGCTGCCTTTTTTCGAATGGCAGACAGCTGGGTTTGGAGTTTATTGGGTCTTTGTTAAGAGTAGGTGCCTATTATAGCCGTGTGTAGAGACGTGGCCACGTGGAGCCCCTCCGTGGAGGGGC